ACAACTACAGGGTTTCGATTTTGAATATGTGCACCGACCGGGAAGACAGCATGCCAACGCAGACGCCCTGTCTCGACGCCACACGCAGCATGGGGAATGTCCATCGTGTCCGGTTGTCGCCATTGTTGTGAGCGCACCGAACTCAGCCGAATGGGAACAAATACAATGGACTGATCCTGAGATTAAGCTGCTGTATTCGAAGATAGAACGCGGCGAGATGAAGCCGACAAAAGGTGATATGGCACCTACGAGTTGGGAGAGCCACTTTCTGTGGGCTGCTTGGTCCCGGTTGCAGCTAGTAGACGAAGTGCTTTACCACAAATTTAGAGAACATTACAGTCCAAAAATTGTAGTCCCACATAGCAAGGTACAGGAAGTCTTGCAAAACCTCCATCAGGAACTCGGTCATCCCGGAAAACGTAGAATGGAGTTTGCCGTGACCCAGCGTTTCTGGTGGCCACAACAGCGCCGCGACATCGTGAATTTCTGTAACCGATGCCCGGAGTGTATTCGAACCAAACTCCCGATGGCGTACCACCTGGCACCACTACAACCGATGCAGGTGAGTTACCCTAACCAAATGGTTGGAATAGATATAATTGGACCGCTCCCGGAAACCCCTCAAAAACCAGGTACATCCTAGTTCTGGTAGACTATTATACCAACTGGTGTGAAGCAACGGCGCTCCCCTTTATTGACACCAAGACGGCATCCTATACTATATTTGAGTTTTGGATATCCCGGTGGGGTGCGCCAATCCAACTACATTCCGACCGGGGGTCCAGTTTCGAAAATGAGGTGGTCGCAGAGCTGAGTCAAGTTTGCGGGATTCACAAAACGAGAACCACGGCATACCACCCGCAAGGTTACGGACAAACGGAACGCACCAACCGTTCTTTGAAAGGGTTACTGCAAGCCTTCACGAACGAGTGCACCACCAGGGAGTGGGACTTGGCATTACCGCATTGCCTACTGGCCTATCGTTCAACAATCCATGCGTCCACCTGTCATACCCCGCATGCAATGCTTACAGGTCGCGAGGTTCGATTAACTACCGATTTGAGCTTTCCGATCCTGGCCCCGGATTCCTTGATGTCCACGGAATTCGCATGGACCCTAAAACAGTGCCTGCAGTGGGCACACGCACTAGCTCGAGAACACCTAAGGAAGGCCCATCGACATCAAAATGAGTGCTACGACAAGTATATTGCCGGCTCCCCAGTA